GAACAAAAACAGCACCATATTGGCACAAAAACCCACAGAGCAATGAAACAGAAGACCCGGATGTTAGCTCTTGCAACTACGGCTACCTTATAAGAATAAAATGTTAAAAACACATGCTGGAGCAAAGTGCATTTTCAGCAAATGGTGCTGGGAACACTGCATGTAGAAGGGTTAAACGATGCTATCCCTAACCCTGTACGCAACCAACTTCAGGTGGACAAAAGACCTTAATGTAAGATCTAAAACTGAAACTTGGAAAAGTAGAGACATCACTCGATACAGCACAGAAAAGGACTTCCTGAATAGCATCCAATCACGAAGCAATGCCAACTACTGATGAAAAAGAAATGATGAAACTAATTTAAAAGCGGTAGAGGCAATAGTGTGAAGAGACAGCCCCCAAAGTGGAACAGAGTCTTTGCTAGCTATATTTCTAACAGGGCGAATATCTAGAAAGAACTGAAAAATAAATGTTCTGGTGTCCTTACTGTTGTTGTGAGAAAAAAAAAAAAAAACATTCCAACCAAAGGCAACTTAAGGGAGAAAAGTTTGATTCACCTTACATCGAAGGGAAATCTGGGCAGAGACTTGAACTCATCGGGGAGACTGTTTGCTAGCTGGCCCACGGGCTTATGCTTAGCTAACTGCTTACATAGCCCAGGATATATATAGGATGTCTAGTCATATGTCTAGTGATGGTACTGCCACAGTGGGCAGGGTCCTCTCCAGACAAACCCACAGGCTAGTTTGATCTAGGTGATTCCTCAGTTGAGGCTTTCTTTAATGACTCTAAGCTATGTGACGTTGACAAAGCTAACTACAAGAAATTAACCAAGCAATCAATCAAAAAAAAATAATGAGTAGTAGTTGTCAGAAGATGGAATCTAAAATGGCCAGCAGACATACAAAAACATTTTTACTCTCACTAGACATCAAAGAAGTCGAAATTGAAAATACCTTTCAATTCCATCTGACCCCAGCAAGAATAGCAGCCATTAAAAGAAGGTGGCAGAGGAGGAAGAGATGGACTGCAGAGATTGCTCAGTGGCCATTCCAGAAGACCCAAGTTTGTTTCTCAGCACCCATGTGGGCAACTTGCAACTGCCTGTAACTCCATCTCCAGGAGATCTGATGTCTTCCGGTATCTGTGGGTTTGGTCACTTGTGGCATACACACACACACACACACACACACACACGTACATCAATTCTTTTAAAGAATAAAAACTATTTTTTAAAAAGTAAGTGTTGGTGAGGATGGGGACAAAGGTAACCATTAGGTAATGCTAGAGAATGTGAGAAACTGGTTCGGTCATTATGAAAGTCACTGTGGAAGTTCCTCAACCTAAAAGACCTATAATGGGATGTAGTTCTGCCACCTCTAGAGACTCCTACTTAACACATCACAGACATACAGTATTAATAGTAGCTTAGTTATTAACTTGAGCCAACCCAAGTGTCTAACAACAGAGGAACGGACGTGGTATGTACACCTAGTGGATATTTTCAGCTATACAGAAGAATGAAATGTCTTTTTTCAGAAAGGTGATATAGCTGGAGATAATCACCTTAAGTCAGATGTGAAAGAAGGTTTTCTCCCTTTTATGGATGAGCTCTTCTTGTATCTATGACGTGAAGGTAGAGGTGAGGCTGTCTGGAGGATCAAAGGACTAGGGAGAGGCGAGAAAGAGTGGTAGGAGCAGGGATGTTCTCATATGGTACATAAGGCATGAAAATACCTTTATGTAACACAATTTAATGTATAATGAATACACATGACGAAGATATGTTTAAATAATATGTAGGAAAAAATGGAATCCACTCATGAGTAACTCAGTCAACATTCCAGTATTTCAGGTTAGGTTCAATGAAGCAGGCTTTGTGGGTGGAGTTTGGCAAGGTACCTACCTGGCTTCAGTGTTTTAGGGAAGGAGGACAGTCAAGTAAAAGATGCAGAGGGAATTTAGATATTGTGCGACCCTGCTTGGGCAACTGCCCCTGACTGCTGGCTGACTTTGGAGATAAGTTGGCTCGGAACAGCTGGATCTATCAGCTATACCTATATATATCTATACCTCCTATCAGTTACTTACTTGCCGTTGGCTGTGGGCCAATCTGGGAGAAGGCCTTGGCTTCAAGGGACGATGTTTCTTCAGCTGAGGGAAACCCGGAACCATCGGAGGTGCTGACTGAAGCCTGGCAGCAGTTCCATAAGCTGTGGCCACAGGCCTTTCCTGAAGGAGGGACCTGCAGAGTGCGTCTCAGATCTGTCACAGAACAACAGTGGGCTCATCCATTGGCAGAGTTCTAAACTGATAATGAGAAGCCTTGGAAGTGGCTCTCAATCATTTTAGAAATAAAATTATGCTTTCTGTGACATCTTGCTATGACAAAAGAGATCCCTTTGCCAACCTTTAAAGGGGGAGAGAGTGGTAATTTTTTTTTAAATTCATTCCTCCAAAGTGTTTATTAACTAGAATTCTGCCCCCAGGAAACACTATTTCCTTTGCCTAGTTTGTACAACTATTCATGTCAGTATGGGACTTGGTTTTATTCTATTCTAGGAGCTATGGCCTCACTACCAATATCTTCTAACCATGTGGATTCCAGCTCTGGCCACTGAGGAGCTCATGTGAAGGAGAGTCCCCTGTTACTCGGTGACCTCTTCGTACCGTAAACATCACAAGGTGTTCCCCGTTACTCGGTGACCTCTTTGTACTGTATACATCACAAGGTGTTCCCTGCTCAGCTTGTGTTTTTCCCAGCCCCACCTCTGGGATCAACTATTTTACAAGGAACCTGGTCCGTTTCGTCAGAAACCGAGATCTGGGGGCTTGGTGTTCATTATTGAGGTGATTGAAAATAACTACGATGCTGTTATTCCTCAAAGCAAATCCTGAATGTCGCGTAATGGTTACTGGCAAGATTGCCTCAGAGTCTTTATAGAACCGATTCGTTCAAGCTAGGATCCAAACAAGGTTCTGAGATTCATAGGTGTTCTTGTAGTTGATTAAAACATTTGAACGTATTGTTTTGTCTGCATTCCTCCTTCCCACCTCCCCACACTTTGCATTTGTGAATTCGGCTGGTCACATCCTAATCACGTCATGGTATCATTGGACACATTTTCTACTCCCCCTTTGTGTGTGTGTGTGCAGGTGGGTGGCTGAGGGCTGAACCAGGGCTAGACGAGCACTCTACCACTGAACTACACCTCCGACACTCAGACTGGTTGTTTAGCAGTAAGTCTTTATACAGGAGCCACATAATCACCTGTTTGCCTCTGTCTACTGTGCTGCACACTGGACTCTAGTGTTTTTGGCTTGATGCATCTAACACAAAAATTTTACACTAATCACCATATGGTTCCGGGAGCCACTGAGTTATTGCAAAATTAGAAATTTATATCATTCCTTTATTTATATTATTATAAAGAAGATCATTCAGCCACCTTGGAATAGGATTTGCATAGGAAAGGCTTTAGTCTACTTTCTGCTTGAATTCTAACTTGATTCTCACCGTAGCAACCTCTTGAAATGGGCAGGCTTTTTTCCATATGTCAATACAACCTCATAACATTTTGAAGGCCTTTCTTTATTTAATGTGCATAAATGTTTTGCCAGCATGTGTGTATGTGTACTGTGTGCATGCCTCGTGCTCTCAGAGGTCCAAAGAGAGTGTTGAATTCTATGGAGCTAAAGCTAAGGATGGTTGTGAACCATCATGTGGGTGCTGGGTCCTGGATCTGAGTCCTCTCAGTCAGTGGGCCATCTCTCCTGCACCATGACCTCAGAATTGTAAACATTTAGTCTACTCCTTGTAAGTTGTTATTCTTTTTCTCCCTTTGATACAGGGTGTCAATATTTAGCTCTAAGTACTCTGGAACTCATGTTTAAACTGAGCTGGTTTAGAACAGGCGGAAATTCCCTTCCCTCAGCTCCTACAACCCTGCGGCAGGTGTGTGCCTGGCTGTGATCATCCCCTGTAGGATCCTCGTTAAGTCAGCTCTTCTGCTGTGACCCCGGTCCTTTCTCTGGCTGCCCTGTTTTCAGGGACGTCTAGACACGGTAGGATATGATTAAGCTACACCTCTTCTCCCCAACCCTGCAATCAGCTGTTGTCTTTTTTTTTCTATGAAGTACTGGTTCTTTTAGGAGGAAACATTTTTATTTTAGCTCAGTGTGGTTAGGTGAGTATCTCATTATAGTTTTTCTTTAAAAAAAGAACGAAGAAAAACTGCGTCATGTTGTAATTTTGTGTTCTTAGGAAAGCCAATCCCTTAGAACTCAACACATGGCACCTCCCCCAATTCTATACTTATTGCATTTCTCCTGCCTCGGGGACTCAAATTCAATATAAATTCATTGTTTTTCATCCCCCAAGTTAGTATTCCACTTTCCCTTTGGTTTTTTGCCAAATTCTTTTGTTTTACTTGGTTCCAACAAAAATGATTTTAGATTGTTTCTCACCATGTGACTTTTACTCAGAAGAATCGAACAAGTTCATGTCAAAGAAAAAAACACCATAATAGGGGCATGGCTGTGGGAGAGAGAATCCTCAGACGACCAAAATGAAGTAAAAGGAACAGACACTATGTTTCTTGGTGGGCAGAGGTGGTGTTCAGGTCCCTGCAGAGTCTGCCCTGTTGTGAAGCTTCATGTCTTACTAGTTAATCCACATTTGAGGACGTGATTTGCATTATAAGGTATAAGTTTCTATAGTACGTCTTACTGAGAATTATAAGCCAAACCCACCACTACGCTAAATGCCCTAGTTCATATATGTATAAGTAACCACTGTCTAGATTTTGATGTCAGTGTATTCCACATCTTGTTTTTGTTTCTTTTCATTTTCCTTTGGGTCTTCTGTTTCTGGTAACCTTATTGACCAGGCTGAGTCATCTGTAGCTTTCTTTGTCTCCATGCCTGACTGACCTTCTTAGAGGCTGCAGTGTCTCAAGAGGGGTCTTTTCTTCTTTGGGGGAGGTGGGGAAGAATGGGATGATCCTTGGACATGACTGTATGTAAACGTGTGTAGGCAATACACAATAAATAGTCTGCAGAACTGGAGCATGAACCTAGGATGATGTGTGTGCTAGGCAAGTGCTCCACCATTAGCTGGTTACAACTCTGTAAATACTTTTTTATCCTGTGATAGGGGCTTCTTGATAAATTGTTCAGGGTGGCCTTAAACTCATTCTGTGGTCCAGACAGCTGAAATTTCCAGTTCTCCAGCTTTCGTCTCTATCCGACTAGGTGAGTTCACAAGCCCTGTGCCACCAGGCCCTGATAAATATATTTTTGCAAGGCGAGTGTCCAGTGCTTTGGGTGCACACACCCTTCCACCTCTGTCTTTTTTTTTTTTTTTTTTTTTTGTAGTCCCCTCTGAGGCCCGGAACCTTCGCTCGACAATTAGGCTGTCCAGGGAAGTTTTAGGCGGTGATACCTTCCACAAACCAACCGACAGATAAGAGCGTTGAGAAGCCAGCAGGGCGGGCCCAGCGAGGTGAGGGGCGTGGCCCGGCCGGGGAGATTGACACCCGGCCGCTGCGGGACCATTGCAGTGCGCACCGCTAGTAGCTTCATCTCGGCCTGGTCTCGCTTTCCTTTCCTGCCTGCTCCTGCTCAGCGTGTCTGTCTCCGCCTCCGCGATCTCTGTCCGCCGCTTCCCTGCCTCCATCGCCCCAGCCCTGCTGCAGGCCCCCTTCCGAGACTCCACGGAGAGCCCGGAGAGACGCTGGAGCCGGTGAGCTGGGGTGAGGGTCACCCCAAATGTGGCCCGGGACTGTAGGGACCTCACAGCCGGAGAGTGTTTTGGGCCGTTCTATTTTTGTTATCTTCCATCCGCAGCCAAACTTAAGCTGTAGTTTAGAATCGTGGAAACGAAGCGGGAACCGAGCCAAGGAAAAGCCTTCTTGGGACAAAGGAAGTTGTGGTCGGGCACGAAGGGCCTGGGGTGGGAATTTTGAGACTAGGTTTGCAAACAGAGTGGCCTCACCGAAGTTTTTCTTCTCAAACAAGGTTTCAGAAGTCGTACTACCTTGTACCCTCTCTCTCTGAGAAAGAGAGTGGAGAGGACTGTGTTGGACGGAGAGAGTATGGAACTGCAATTAATACTTAGAATTCTCTGCTAAAGCAAACAATTCCAAAGCAGACCTGTACGTGATTCTTCTGTCCCCAGTTCTCAGCACACAGTTTAGCGTTTAAGTGTCAATGCCAGGCCACTATGTTACCGCTGTCATCAATATTATTAGCATACTCATAATGAATGAAAATTAATGACTATTTAATTGTTGAGGTGATGACAGAACCAAGAGTGAATTCTGAAAAGGTCAACATTCATAATTAAAGACATTATATTTGTATAGTGCCTTAAAGTGTACAAAACACTCCCGAGTGCTCCTCATCAGTGTGCATTATTCACCTTTAACAAATGAGAGCCAGTCACATGCCTTACTCTTGAGCCTGGGGCATGACAGTCACAAGTTCAAGACCAGCCCAGGTACTAAGAGGAGGCGTTGCAATTGATAGAATAATGCAGTGCTTAAAGATGCGGCTTTGTACTGGGAACGCCACCGTTAATGTTATTTTATTGTCATGAGAATATCATCGGTATATAAACACATCTATACAGTATAGACCACGGCATGGCTGGGCTAACTGGAATATACTTCCAGCTGATTTAGTGTGCTGTTTCACAGTAGAAGTTTAGTAATTAGATATGCACTCCAATAATGACAGAAGGTGTAATATAATGAATGTTCAAGCCAGCAAAGTAGCTTATTGTCATTTCAAGTTTTATGAACTATACACAACTGTGTTATGTTTTTATATGACTGGCATCACCACAGATGTGAGTAATGTCCTAGAGCTGTGAATGACTAAGGTGTCTCTAGGCAATAGGAATTTTTCAACACTTATAATCTTGTGGTATTTGTAGGTGAAAGGATCAAGGAAAAACACCTTGCACATAAATAGACCTGAGACTTGGGCCAAGGAAAAACACCCGATTTGACCCCAGGACAACAGCTTGAAATCACACTAATCCTTGAACTTGCCCCTCAGGCTGTGGAATCCCACCAATCCCTGAGCTTGCCCCAGAATCAGACCCCCAAAATGCACCTATTGAAAGCTCCACCCTCCCACCTCCACTCCCAGAAACCTACATAAAGTTTGTGCCCTGTTCAGTTTGCTGCTGTTTCTTACCAGAGGCAGCCACCCTCCTGAAAGCTTCCTTCCCAATAAATCTCTTGGGTGAGGTTTGCTGGGTGACTCTTTTGCTGGAGCCCAGCTGTAACGACTTTCACCAGAGCAGAGCAGCACTGTAACACTTGCTGGGTAAGCGTTCCCCTAGTGGAGCCGAGTTGATACACTCTGGAGTTCTAAGCAGAGCTGTAACAACTTCACTGGGGAAACCTTTCCTGCAGAGTTGTTACACTTGCGCTGGGGAAACCTTTCCTGCAGAGTTGCTACACTTGCGCTGGGGAAACCTTTCCCTGTAGCAGCGCTGTAGGCGCCTATGCTTTCTTTGTGGTGCAGTGACCTTCTTGGCTCCTGACTGCCAGGATATCTTTTCATCGAGCTGCAATGCTTACAGCACCTCCCCCCACACCCATACAGCCTATTATTACATTTTATATAGTGCTTGACTGCATTCAGATATCAGTTTCAGGACTCAGGAATAATATGCCCTGTTTGGCATGGTGGCACATACCTGGAATCCTAACACTCAGGAGACTGAGGCTCAAGGATATCAGGTTCAAGGCCAGTCTGGGCTTTACAGTGAGACGTTGTTTTGTTTTTTAAACTATATAATGACTTATAACTGAAAAATATGGTATAGTGACTGCCATGTATTGTGATCCTGTTGTGCAATAGGCCTTGTGACAGTTACTTAAGGACCTTTCATTCCTATGTAGAATTTAATGGTGGCAAAGCCTTGCCAGTTATAAGTAGTTACGCTGCGGCAGGGGGAGGGAAGTTAGTTGGAACATCTGGGAACTACTATGGGGCCTCTGATCTGCTGGAGGCTTGTTTGAGTTAAAAGAGAACTAGGTGCCCTCTCAGGAGGTTGAGGGGGCTGTAGGAGAAGATAAGAAAGTAATGGTTTTTACTGGCAAGCAGAAACCCACTTTACAAGGTTTCGGAGGAATGCTGAGTGTTTCCCGGGTCAGAGTCCAGCCTGAGCTGAGCACAGACTGCCACCCTGCACACTGGGACCTGACATGATGGCCCTTTGATTTTGTAGTGTTCATTGTATTATATGTGTAATCTACGAGCCCTCAGAGAGTGCTGGGTCCTGTGGAGAAACAAACAGGGAGCTCGTCCGCTGGAGGGTGTCTGGACAGAGCTGGGGGAGGTGAGGGAGGGAATCGTGTGGCTCTCTGAGAAAGAGTGTTCCAGGCAGAGCAGGTAGCTAGCTTGGCCAGTTATTACCTTCTCTGGGGCCTCGGTCTGCACAGGTGCGCCTCTTCTGTTTTCCTACTTGCTGTTGTGTCACCTCTAAGATAGCACTTACTTTATCTGTGTGCACATTGTCTTCCTGCCCTCCAGTGTTCTCAGCTTAAAAGCAGGTGGCTCCTCAACACCGTTGTCAGGGCCTGCTGTACGAAGACACTCAGAAATGTTTGCTGGATAAATACAGACGGACTCATTGGCCTACGGGTTGCTGTTTGTTTGTTTGTTTATGCAAATTATTTGTAAAAATGGGCTTTGGGTGACATAATTTGAAAGAAAATTAAATCCTAAGCCTGTTTTTGTCTGCTTGGTCTGAGTCCCTTCTGTGGCCTCTGAGAAGTGGGACTTCTGGGCACTTTCCAAGAGTTTCTGGAGGTTTCCACTCCCTGTTATCACAGGCCTGCTAGCCTGGCACGTGGCAGATAGAATATCGCAAAGAGGGCTGAGAGATGGCTCAGTGGTTAAGAGCATTGCCTCTCTTCCAAAGGTCCTGAGTTCAATTTCCAGCAACCACATGGTGGCTCACAACCATCTGTAATGAGGTCTGGTGCCCTCTTCTGGCCTGCAGGCATACATGTAGACAGAATATTGTATACATAATAAACAAAGAAATATTAAAAAAAAAAGAATATCACAAAGACCCATGTAGCTGAGTTTTCAAGAACATAATCTCCAGGGGGCTGGAAATAAGAGGGAACCCAAAGCCACAGTAGTTATCCCTTGAGTGACAGTTAACTGGTCACATAAAAGTGTGGCTTTTAAGACCCTTGTCACAGCTGCCAAAGCTGCAGGTCCACCCGGGCTACAGCACCTGGAACTGAGCTCACAATACCAGGCTGACTCCCTTGAGAGTCTGCACCCTCTGTTGTGTGCCCCCCCCCCCCCGAATAAACTATGGGTAAGACCTTACTGACAGAAATGAATCAGAAGGTTGTCCTTTCTCCTGGTCTTCAGGAGAGGGAGGGAACTTGCCTTGAGAATTGTTGTCCGTGATCTTACTCAAATGGGTTTGGTTTATAGTCATCTAGAACCCCAGGCTGAGAAATCAACGTGTCTGGAGAGCAGATGTATTGAATGAGGGTGCATCTTATTTGCTTTGGCTGCTGAGGCCATGATGCTGTCTTTGTATGAGAAAGCGGATGTTTGCGTACATCCACAGCTCGCTGTGTCCTCAGCAATGGACTCATATGCAGACTCCCACTCACTGCTTGCTGTCCTCGCAGAGGTCATGGAAGACATGCCATCCTGCTCCATCAGCAGCACTCTGTTCCAGCAAGAAGACCAGCAAGGGATCACCTACCGGATCCCAGCCCTGCTCTACATCCCTCCCAGCCACACCTTCTTGGCCTTCGCAGAGAAGCGGTCCACAAGCAGAGACGTGGATGCCCTCTACCTGGTGCTCAGGCGAGGGGTGATGAATGGCCACTCTGTACAGGTGAGTGATCCTCTTGGATAAGGACCTGGGACTCATCTTCTCTCCTCAGAGCTGAATGCACTTCTGGTTCTGTTCTCCCCACCACCCCCGCCCCACCTTTGCCAGCAAAACTCTATGTGGGAAACTGAGGGGAAAATAATAAAAAACAGACTTTTACTGAGCTATTTTGTGCCAGGGATCCACTGAATTTTATCGTGGGCACTGTTGTTAATCATGTTTAGCACATGGGGGAACATGGCTCAAAGAGTTTGTCATTTACTCTAAGCCATGCACCTGTAATCCAGCAGCAGAAACATACTTCAAACTCAGGCGCAAGCTTAGGCCTCTGTGGTGCATCCAGACCCTGCACGGTCTGCCTTTTGTTTCTGTGCCCTGATAGGACCACCCAGGGGAGGGGGCACCATTAGTTCAGCGTTCCTGAGTGCTTCATCTCCTCATCTGCCTGCGTTTCTACTTCTCACCGCCTGAGCGGCTCGAAATGGGTGCCTTGCTCTGTCACCGTGAAGATGTGACTCTGCTGAGCCCCCATCCTGGCTTTGCGTGACATTGGTGCCCGTTTCCTTCTGAGGAGTTTGTACTGTGAGGGCTTTCCAGACCGTTTGTACTATACGTCATTACTAGGTCAGACTCCACAGAGGCCCAGCCCTGAGGCTGACGGAGCCCAGAGTGCCAGGTGTCTGTAGGACAGACAGCGATCAAACACCTTCACTCTGAGCAGTCTCAAGGACACACACCCCTGATAAACTTTTTTTGGCTGGTGTTGGAGATACAAATGCATATAATTTGGGTGTTATCCAAAAGGCCCATAGTCTAAAAGAGGAGATAGTTACCAAAAATATGCATACTCCATATAGCTGCTGTAGCTTCTTAGAAGAGTGAGTTTCAGCGAAGCCCCCAAAGGGGGTGACATTGGAGTTGGATATTGGAGATTGATTTGGAAGTCCAGATGCAGCAAAGAAGAACATTCTTGAGAGAGCACAGCTTTTTACAATATCTAGCATTATCTTTTTTCAAATGTAAAGCCACCTTGTAGTAGCTGCAAATTTTGTGATTATTTGGGCATTCAAGATTCTGTTCATGTTAATGTCATATATTGTTTGCAAAAAGAACTGGCGCTTTTAATGAGCCTTGTGTCTGCCTATTAGTAACCCAATCCCACTATCTCCTTCTTCCCCTCGACTAGTGGGGACCGCTGCAGCCACTGATGGAAGCCACATTACCTGGGCATCGGACCATGAACCCCTGTCCTGTGTGGGAGCGGAATACCGGCCGTGTGTACCTGTTTTTCATCTGTGTGCGGGACCATGTCACTGAGCTTCGGCAGATTAGGTTAGGCAGGAATGCTGCCCGTCTCTGCTTCATTTGCAGTCAGGACGCTGGGTGCTCGTGGAGTGAAGTGAAGGACTTGACTGAGGAGATCATTGGCTCAGAGATGAAGCACTGGGCCACGTTCGCGGTGGGCCCGGGTCACGGCATCCAGCTGCAGTCAGGGAGACTGCTCATCCCCGCTTATGCCTACTATTTCTCACGCCGGTTCCTCTGCTTTGCGTGTTCAGTCAAAGCCCATTCCCTGATGATCTACAGTGATGACTTAGGAGTTACGTGGCACCATGGCAAGCTCATTGGGCCCCAGGTGACAGTGGAATGCCAAGTGGCGGAAGTGACTGGGAGGGCTGGTAACCTTGTGCTTTACTGCAATGCCCGGACACCAGACAGATTCCGAGCAGAATCCTTTAGCACTGATTACGGTGACTGCTTTCAGAAACCAGCCCTGAACCCACAACTCTATGAGCCCGGCTGTGGCTGCCAAGGCAGTGTAGTGAGTTTCCAGCCCTTGAAGATACCGCAATTACAAGACCCAAGTGGTGAAGATGCGCCCGATACTCAGAAGCGCCCTCTGCTGGACAGCTTTCTGGAGCGGGAGGAAGGAGCTGGAACCCCATCAAGAACATGGCTCTTGTACTCTCATCCAACTAGCAAGAAGCAGAGAATTAACCTGGGCGTCTACTACAACCGGAACCCCTTGGAGGGGACCACCTGGTCCCGCCCCTGGATCTTGCACTGTGGGCCCTGTGGCTACTCTGATCTGGCTGTTGTGGAAGAACAGGGCTTATTCGCATGTTTATTTGAATGTGGGCAGAAGCATGAGTGTGAGCAGATTGCCTTCCGTCTGTTTTCAGATCAGGAGGTCCTGAGCTGTGAAGACTGTAACAGCCCTAGTAGGAGCTAAAGCCAAATCTAGACTGAAGGGTGAGGACCCAACTTTCCACAGAAGGGATTACAGAGGTCTCTGATGTCTACAGAAAATTCAAAAGCTAATATTTTGCTGCTTCCATTTCTTTTCCCTTTTCCCTTTCCAATGAGCCTAGAGAAAATCGTGCCTTACCGTACACAGCAATAAGGCTATGGAACTGGGAGTTTGGAGACCACGATGTGGTTTGGGTTCTGCTGCTGGCTTGCTTTAGGACTGTGGATGTATCCCCTGAACTCTCTGGGTATCAGGTCTCTGTTATAGAATGAAAAGGTTGGTTTGCGACTTTTTGTCCTCCCATTGAAAGGAGAGACCGAGTGCTACCTCTTGTCCCACAAACTCTGGATTCTGATCGTGGGTGGGAGCCAGAGACTTATCTTTTCAAATGAGTCACTGCTCACTTGAGTATGAGGTGACATATAGGTGCTTTGACCAGAAGAAAGATGTGCATCGTTCTATTTTTAATAAGGAAAATGCCTTTACCCTTCTAATCATACCCTAGCTCTTCAAGTTCTCTAACCTGGAAGAACTGAGAGGGCAGAACCGTGAAGTCGGCTGCTTTCCCTGGCATTGCTGCTATGTTCAACCCCCCCTCCCCATCCAGAAAACATTTCCCAGGGAGAAAAATGAGAACCCCCTGCCAGCTGCCCTTGATAATGGTGCTGATTGCTTTTGATGTCATTACCTCCATTAAAGATGAATCTGAGGGGGGCTGAAAGATGGCTCTGTGGTTAAGAGCACTGGCTGCTATTCTAGAGGACCTGGGTTCCATTCCCAGCACCCACATGGCAGCTCACAACTGTCTATAACTCCAGGTCCATAGTATCTAACCCCCTCTGGCCTCTCCAGGCACTTCATGCACATGGTACACACACACACACTTGAACACACACTCCCATACACAGTACTCATGTTCCTTGTCTCAAACAGCTTTTGGCTCTACATCATTTACTAAAGGGTGGTTATAGGGCAGCCTGGTGTGCAGACCTTGCAGGTTGAAAGTAACAAATGCATACAGACTTTCCTTCACTCTTATGTGAAGCCCACTGACAGGGAAGACCTCCATCCAGGTGGGAAGGAAGAGCCGCCAGGGTCTAAGGATGACTGGGGTAGATGATAGCCCTGGCAGTTGGGGAAAGGTGGAGGCTGGAAAGAGAAGAGCCCCCATGAGAGGTAGGAACTCACTGTAGAGACTCTCACTGTACTACACTAGGGTAGACACAGTAGCTGAATTCTGTGTCTAGGACGAAAGGATGAAAAACAGCTTTGGGATTTCTGTGGGAATGTCCAAGAAGGGAGTCAAGGAAGGGGCTTAATTGCCTGCCCATGTGAATGCCACTTCTCTCGTTTTCCTTTCTGACCCACCCCTTCCCCTTGCTTTGGGCTTGTATCTACTTAGTGACTAGCTGTAAAACCCTTAACTGGGAAAAGGCCCTTTGTGCTCTTTTCAGAAAATGTAAGAAAAGAAGATCAGAGACTCAGGATGTCTGAGATGAAGACTAAAGAGAGATGGAGTGGGTGACAGCAACTGGGGAGAGCAGGAACAGAAGATGGAAGACCCTGCACCTTTAGGCAAAGAGGCGGGTGTGAGGTCCCATCTTGTGGGGTGGTGTAGAGGGTGGTGCTGTGGGAGAATCAGGTTGAGCTATTGTCCTGAAGCTTTCAGGAGGGGAGAGAGACCTATCCAGGCCGGTGGCTCAGCCTGTGCAGGAGGTCCAACCTGAACCATTTAACTGTCTTAGCTTGTGGTTCAGCTAAGCAACAAAGACAACTGTGGACCCTCCAACCTTGCCAGTCATCCAAAGGCTTCAGGGCCCTGGGATGTGTCTCATGCTGTGGCAACAATTGTTGAAGCCGCTTCAGCCACCTTCAGGTTGAAAGAGTAGAAAAGATGGTGGGTAGTCACACTACCAAGGAAAATAAAGCAGAAAGGAGGCCCGTGGTCTAGGTGTGAAGAGAAGCCCATACAGACTCTGATTTTTTGCCTTCATAGTGTCCCAGTCTGCCCCTGAGGTCTCTAGAATGGAGTGGCACAGTAACCTATCGCTGGAGTTCCAGAGAATAGGCCTCCCGTCCACACAACCTCCTGGCCCATGTTCCTTCATAATCACCTCAGGTTCTTGTCGTTTGGTGCTGCATTTGGACCTGCATGTCTTGGTCATGAGTCTCTCCTCAGAGTGCCAGAGGATGTCATGAAGCTTCACTGTGAACCCTAGAATCCACATAGGTCAACCTGAGGCTGAAGGGTTAATGATCTCCATCTGGCCCTATCATGTTATCCCTCTGTACAGCTGAAGTCACATTCTGAGTCTCCCGTTGGTCCTTCCATGGGCTGCCAGGTGATACTATCTGCTGTGTCCTCTAGACCCCTGCTAGGAGGGGTGGAGAAACCCTTTTTCCTTTTTAACTCTGAATCACAATAACTTGTCTATAATACTGTTTTTCTGTCACATTCTGAATTCGCTGAAAGTAAGAGCTGTCTTTGTCCTCTGTCCCCAGCAAAGGGGAGATGGTAGGCAGCAGGAAAGATAGGCTGAACAAACAAATGAGTCAGAGATCCTTGACCACCCCTTTCCAGGTTCCCCCACGTCCAAGTACTGCTGAACCGTCACTGTAAATAAATGCTGTGTGCTCGCCAGGTTCCAGGTCCCTTACAATGCTTCCTGGAGCTGGGCTTTTATCTAGGTCAAGCCTGGTCTTGTCTTGTGAGATGTCCCAAGCCTAAAGCCAAGCTGTGATGTGTGGGGTTCTCACTTCACTGATATTCCCCTTTTGTCCCTGTGTGGACTTCCCATGGCTGTCACTCCTGCAGGATTCCAAGGGAGATGCTGAGCTCACGTTTTGAGTCTTGCTTGGCTCTGTGATGCCGGCACCAGACATGTCATTGTACCATAAGCATCACCATCACTTAGAACAGTGGCTCTCAGACTGTGGATTGGGACCCTGTGGGGTCACATGACCCTTTCACAGAGGTTTCCCAAGAACATCAGAAACACAGATATTTACAATTCATAATGGCAGCAAAATTACAGATATGAAGAAGCAATGAAAATAATTTTGTGATGGGGGTCACTGTCTTAAAGGGTATCAGCATCGAGAAGGTTGAGAACCACTGACTTAGGACCAATAAAGATGCTTAAAGGTCATTGTTCCAGTAATTAGTGATCTTTGTTGCTAAGGAAACTGAAAAGATCATCATCTTAATATCTATTAATAGTTCACATTCCACATTTTTTCTTTTTTTTTTTCTTTTTCTTTTTTTGTTTTTCGAGACAGGGTTTCTCTGTAGCTTTGGAGCCTGTCCTGCAACTAGCTGTTGTAGACCAGTCTGACCTCGAACTCACAGAGATCCTCTTGCCTCTGCCTCCCGAGTGCTGGGATTAAAGGCGTGTGCCACCACCGCCCAGCTCCACATTTTTTCAAAAAGTAAATTTGAGATAATTTTTTTTATGAGAACTTTTAACTTTAATACTCTTCCGTATTATCATACTTTTTTTGGTTTTTGGTTTTTTAAGACAGAGTTTCTCTGTGTAGCAGTCCTGGATGTCCTGGAACTTGCTTTGTAGACCAGGCTGTCCTTGAACTCACAGAGATCCGCCTGCCTCTGCCTCCCAAGTGCTGGGATTAAAGGCATGTGCCACCACTGCCTGGCTTATACATTTTCTTTAATCAATGGGAAAGAAATGGCCAGGAATGCTTGTGACACTGCTGGGCTTGACCAGCTGTTTCAGCCTGACTCCTTACATTCTCTCAGTGACTGTGTGTGCTTTCTGGAATTCACTTTTGGAAAGGCTTCAAGTAAGCCTAGCAATTTTCATAATATTGAAACTCTCCCAAGGACAAAAGTATCATCCAGAGACTATTAACTTACCTCTTCAACAGTTTCATAATAATTGTTTACATAATCATTTAAGGCAAGAAATCTGACCTATTTTATGTTTGCATTTTTGTTAGGTTGCTCTACGTTGGGTCCGTGGGCTTGGGCTTGAGGGGAATACTCAAATTTACAAGCCTTGGTGGTTCAATTTATTTAACTCATCTAATAGTTTATTAAGACTCATTAAACAATGAATAGCAAATTTGATCCTGATCCTTTGAATGTTCCAAGTATTGTAGGTAGTATTTGAAGCATGGTTAATCCGATTATAAGCCATTGTTCTAACAAAGTGGGGCACAAAAACCCAACAGCCTGAGCACATGCTTAACTCACCACCTCAAGGCAGCAAGAGGGCCACGGGGTAGATCAGATTGCCAGGGAGTCCTCAGAGGGCTTGGTGGAGAGAAGTGGGGAGAGCACCTTTATCCTGCCCTTGGTCTCCACCACCCTCAGCATGGGCAGCATTTGGTGGCTGAATGCAGACAATGTGTTGATGAAGAAGGGAAGAAGACATCCCCGGAGGAAGACACTCTGAGGTTGAATGCGGTCGGCGCCTGGGAGAGATTGCTGCAATCTCTGCCGCAGTGTGAGCCACACTTGCATGGCAGTTCTTCCCAGGAAAGCGTTTACTCTCGGGATCCCAGGACGGTAGAATTGTTTTCCAACCTCCCGAGAACCTGCTTTCAAAGACCCTAAAGATGGGTTTTGTTATCAGCAACTGGGAAGAGAATCAGAAATGAGAACATGGATCCCCTCAAGGGAGAAGCAAAGATGTGGATAGCAGTGAAGGCTGATGCCATGCCAGCCACGAAGCCTGGAGGCACCAGGCAGCTCTCAGAATCAAAACTCGTAGTGAAATCTTGTTTTGTGCAACACTAACTCTGCCTTTCCTCATGGCTGGGTCAGTCTCTGGAGCTGTTTATAGTAGCTACGTCTGAGCCTCTATGCAATTTGGGTGGTTCTCCTCACATAATTCTGAAAACACACACACACACACACACACACACACACACACACACACACACACACACACTGCATTGTTGCTCCAGCCTGCAGATGAGGAAGCTGCACTGAAAAATCAGTCATGTGAGACTACAGAAAACAAGCCTTCTTAGGCCCTTACAAAGTCCTCCCCAGACACCCAAACTGCTGTCACCTGGATCTTGTACTTTTCAATCTCAAGACCTGTGGCCCACAAATTGCTGTTGTGCATGAATTCTTCAGTCCCAGGTGCTGTGCATGGACTCTTCAGTCCGGTGTGCTGTAATGAAATCACGGGAGGCTGAATGAAGGGAGAGTCTAAGTGATGCTTTCCAGCCATGGTGCACACACGAGTCATCCCTGGAGAGTTATTTAAAAACAATTTCCAACCCATCATCCCCCATCATGCCTCCCTCTGGAGAATGAAATTTAGGTCTGGGGTAAGTCCCTTCCCTTAGGGACCCCAGACTTGGATTCTTTGGGGTCAAGTTATTGAGCAATTGCTCTTCCCACTACACTCTATGCCTGGTTAGAAAACTTCTGTGTTGAAAACGAGGGCCCGGAGTTGGTTTATAGACAGCTATGAACTTTGAGAGAAGGGGATTAGGTCTCTTAGTCTTCCTTCTGTTCCTCTTGTATAGTATGGAACTGATGAATATTTGTTGAATGAATGAATGAATGAATGGCCTCCAGCTTTAACCATTTGAAGAAGTATAGAGTCCACGAAATTGTGGATTCAAAGGCAGGTCTTAGACAAGGTGAGCTATCCTGGCTCTTCTCGGCCTTCCTTGACTTGGGACTTCATAGCATCGAAGTGACCCCAAAGAGGATACCTGGCAGATGAAGTACAGTGAATCCTGGATTCAGAGAGGTGCCACTAACAGGGCCCCAAACTGGAGCTGAGGGGCGACTTTGTCATTTCAGGTCCATGTCACGCTCTGCTGTGATTTGGAAGCTGTGGTGGTTTGAGTGACAATGGCCTTCATAACCTCAGATGTTCAAATACTTGGTCCCCAGTTGGTGGAACTGTTGGAGAAGGCTTTGACGATGTGGCTTTGTTGGAGGAGGTTTGTCACTGGGGACATTTCCTGGGTAAAGCCTATGTCATTCCCAGTTAGCTCTATCCACCCCATATTTCTAGATCAACACGTAAGCTCTCAGCTACTGCTCCGGTAACATGCCTGCCTGCTGACTGCCATACTCCTGGACATGATGGCCATGGACTTACCTTACCCTCTGAAACTGTAAGCCCCAAATAAATGCTCTTCTAAAGGTACTTTGTTATGGTGTCTCATCACAGCAATAGGAAATTAACTGAGACAGACGTGGTTCCAGAAGCCCAGCCCTCTAGTCTTGCAGCTGCTATGTTGTTAGTATTAAGCAATGTGAGCACATTTAACTGGGGACCTGTGATTGAATAGTGAGGCTTCCAGAGGCTGGTGGATGACGGCAGTAGGAATCAGAGAGACTCTGAAAGCCAGAGCCTGTGTGTTGATAGCCTTCCATCCACCCTGTGAAGATGCTCCTTTGGAGGACAGTACATTGTCCTTACATCTCTGGAGAAGGGCATTGTGGGTAGGGGTCCATCAATACTCTAAGGATGAGGAGCATCCTAGTGCCCTAGGAATTTCCAGTGGGAGGACTCTGGCCTTGAACTAACCCAGAATCAGGTTCGGGGCAGACCTCACAGACATCGCTGACCTCAATGGGCTCTGACGGAGATCTAGGCTGCAGGCATGGATGTAACTGTTGAGAGAACTGAGGTCAGTCCTGCCAGCTGGGGATAGATGGCTCAAGATTCAACTCAGGTGGTGGGCTGTGCTCGGGATAATTACTGCTGTCTTAGGGTTTCTATTGCTGTGATGAAATACCATGACCCAAGTAGCCTGGGGAGGAAAGGGTTTATTTGGCTTACACTTCCATATGTAGTTCACTATTGAAGGGAGTCAGGACAGGAACTCAAACAGGGCAGGAACCGGGAGGCAGGAGCTGATGCAGAGGCCATGGAGGGGCGCTGCTTACTGGCTTGCTCCTCGTACCTTGTTCGGCCTGCTTTCTTGTAGAACCTAGGACCACCATCCCAGGGATATCACCACTCACAATGGACTGTCCTGCCTCACACCAGTCACTGATGAAGGAAATACCCTGTCACCTGATCTTATGGAGGCATTTTCTGAATTGGAGTTTCTCCTTCTCAGAGGAGGTGTCAAGTTGACATACCTTTGGTTGCCCGGCAGAGCTGTTTCTGTGTAATGGGCATACGGGGCTTAAATCCAGCCAAGTGGCATTTTCTAAGATGTGTAAAGGGCCCAGAGGGATGCCTTTTGGGGAAACCCTCCTTTTGAGTATCTGAGGTAATGTTCATCACAGCTACCGTCTTACCTTGGGTATTTATTGCTGTGAAGAGACACCATGACTGTGCCAACTCCTGTAAAGGAAACATTTAACTGAGGCGGCCCCCTCACAGTTTCAGAGGTTCAGCCCGTTATCATCACGATGGAGAATACGGCGGTGTGCAGACAGACGTGGTGCTGGAGCTGAGGGTGCTACTCTTGACCCAGAGGCAACGTGAAGTTGATTGACAGTCATGGCCACACTAAGGGAAGCTTGAGCAAAAGGGATCCC